GAGCTAACATGGGGTTAGCTCGTTAAATTACAATAAAGCCTCGTGCAGTTTGCAGCAAGCTCTCGAATCTGCCTGGTGATTGGCCTGGGACCCCGGATACCTGAGTTTTCCGGGGGTCTAATACACTGAGTAGTACTCCATTGTGTAAATGTACCATTAATGGGAATTTAAGGCCAAGTGCAGTGTGTGGAGGAAGGCTACTGAAGACACAGCTGATTTTCTTTAAATGAGTCTCCATTTCGTTTCATAGCAATTCAGCTACTGGGGCACTTTGGAAATGGTGGAGGAAGGACCTTCAAAACATGCTTGTGCAAAACAAATAAAACAAACAAATGAAAAGAACACCGGCAAAAACCCAAAACAAACAACAACAAAACAACCACCCAACCAAACAAAATCAACCCATAGAAATAACCATTTAAAACAACATATAAAATAAACCATCACAGCAATTCTCAGCACACTTAAGAAAAATGGGGGTGCCAGGATTCTCGAGATATGTGAGGCTGAGCTGTCAGCCCTTTTTCTTCATACCTCCAGTCAGGCTTGAAAAACAACTGCCTGAAAAGACAATAGCCATGAGAACAGCTGCCTACCAATCCCTGGAGGTGGAACACAGGTTTGAAGACCTTAGGACAACCACACACAGAGAAATGTCATATGTAACCTGTTTTGACATTGCAGGAAAAGCTCTTTTCTCAGCATTTTTAATTATTTGAGCTGATATTGCATATAAACGGCTCTGTCTCATGGGCATCTGTCAAAAGTCAATCAGCAGCAGTCACCCAATATCATGGCTATCATGGTGGGGTAACAAGTTGGGGCAAATAGCAGTTGACTAAAAATATTAAAAGGAAAAACAAAGAATGGGATACGCATAGAGGATGTGTGAGAAGTCTCAACACATCTCTAGGAATCTAGAAGGTTGTATATCTGTGATGGACAGTGTATAGGTCAGCAAGGCCTGAGATCACCCTGGGAAAGCAGTATGCAAAGAGTAGCTTTCATTGTAACCTGCCTGCTGGACATGGACATAGACCTTAACATATCAGAAGACCCGAAGCCCCAATAATTCAAGGCATTTCAGAAACTCTATGGTCATCATTGGCTGACCATTACATTAATAGAGCAGAAACTTCTGGGGACATATACATATGGCACTTTTCTTTTTCAGTTTTTCAAGACAGGAAGGGTTTCTCTGTGTGGCTTTGGGGTTGTCCTGGAACTTGCTCTGTAGTCCAGGCTGGCCTGGAACTCACTCTGTAGACCAGGCTGTCCTGGAACTCACAGAGATCCAACTGCCTCTGCCTCCTGAGTGCTGGGATTAAAAGTGTGTGCCACCACCTCCTGGCACATATTGCACTTTTATACAGTCAGAATCATCAGTGGACCACAGCATTGCCACTGCCCAAAACAGTAAATGTTCAGGAAGCTCAACAGATCCATAGCTATATACATTGGGTCAAACTTGAAAGGCAAAAGCAAAGCTAGAATATGGAAAGCAGCTAAAGGACAGAGACATAAGGTATAGAGACTCAAAAAGTGACTTCTCAGCAGAAACTATGGCCACCAAGGCCATGGAAAAGTGTGGGACACCTCCTGTGTTATTCATTAGGAGGTCCCAGAGGCACCCAAAACTGCACAGGTCACAGGCCAATGCTCTTGGTTGTCTATCAGAATGAGATGATCAGACCCTGTTTCTGAAGATACCATGCTGTTTGGTTCTGGCACACAGAGAAATCAAGCTGTAACTGGCCCAGGCCTTCCTCCCTGCTGGCTAGGTTTCAAGTGCTGGAAGGTACTATGTAGAAGTGCTTGGGGGAGAGGAGCCATCAATCATCTATCCAGCTGTGGAACCTACAAGCTACACTACCAGCCTGTCAGGCAAGACGTGCCACTGGCACTAAAGTATGACTTATGAAGATGATCAACTGTCTTCTGGTTGGACTGAAGCTTGCTCCACAGGCCCATGGTTGGGAGATTTTCTTCCTGAAACATTGAAAACTGGACTTTACAGAGCTGCACTTTCCAGATCTTTCTAGATGTCCAGGAAGCCTTAAAATCAGCAGTCATGCATCCAACAGTCTCCCTAGGTCTCCCTCCCTTCTGCTTCCCAGTATTTTCCACACATTGCTCTGACTGGGCTCTAGGGGAAATGGGGAGATGACTTATCAATTGATGTTCATGACTTCTATCAGGTGTCTGTGGAGTGGGAAGTTCCTAGTATGTCCAACAGCTGGACATCTAGAGATGCAGAGTGGGGAAACCCCCAGAACCTACTCGATGGGGGATACACAGGCCAGGTTTTCAGATCTCCTTGGCCCCGTGACTAGAAATTGCCTCAGTGAGAAACAAACTAATGTCACTCACTGAAGACCAGCAGTTGTTTCTATATCTTTTTACATATGACCCAACTAACTTGTTCCTATTGCAGGCAACCAAAGCCTTCAGTCCTGGACAAGCTAGGAGGATACAGTCGTGGTTTTCTTGCCTGGAATATGAGTGATTTTGAAGACGCCCAACAGAGAAACTCCAAGAGGGCTATTCTTGTTAAACAGAGTAAATCACCAGGGACTACTTTGACCCCCAGGCTGCCAAAGCTGTCATGGAAGGAAGAGAAGGTAAGCTGCCATTTTTCAACTATCCATAGAGAAGTCAGGCTATGGACCAGAGTATCATTTGATTCTAACAGTTTCATAGTTCCCTTTAACCTATCAAACCAGATTGGAATCTAGATTAGTTTCCCTGGGTCAGTGTCTACTGAGTTGGGGAGCTGGGTTGAGTCTCATAGTGTAAGAAAACAAGAGGGTGTGTGGTCCCATCCCTGGAAATGTTTATCCACCACATGGCTTGACCTAGAGAGGACAGTCAGGCCGCTAATCCCCACAAGCGGAGAAAGCAGCCTGCACGATGGAGGCAGACCTGGAAACTCTGAACGTGCTCAGAACATTAAGACTAAACCAGCTCACTCTCCTGCCTCTCCCCTAAGCATCTTTAGCAAGTTGTGTAATTTCCCTATATGCTTTTAAGAATAAATAAGAGGGGGACAGCAGGCACTTTCCTGAAAAATCTGAAGAGCGAACAGAGAGAATCAAGGGTGCATAAGCATATATCCCACAGTCATTTTCAGAGGTCTGAGTACAAATCTGTCTCCTGTCTTGGCCTTCTGCACAACCCTACAGCACGGTGCACTTTGTCATTGTCCAGTGTCGAAAACAGTTTGACATAAAGTTCCTATGATAAAAAGGAAAACAGAATAGCTCCCGTCCATTCAGATGCCTGTTTCGTGCACCAAGTGTCATCTTGCTTCCTTAAAGAGTCCTTTGGAACTCACTAGCACAAAACTCACCCTGTGTCCAGAGATCCCGCTCATCAGCCATCACATTTGGAATCTTTCAGTGAAGGGCTGGATTTGTCCTCTGGAAAGGCACCAGTCCCAGGGACACTGTGTTGAAAATGGGAACAGTTCAGGTGCTACCTTCCTGTTGTAGGCTGACTCCCGGGAAGGCAATGATTGAGGTAATGACTGGCATCTGTGCAAAGGAGCCCTGGGTTAGTTGTGTTATTGAACTCATTCTGAGTATGATCACCCATTAGTTCCAAATGCCTCCAATCACCCACTAAATCTAAACGAAGCTTTTATGTTTTGCATTAAAATTTTTGCTTAAAAGTTTTTTTAACTTTTAAATGACTTAAAATTTACAGAGGAAGTTCTCCAAGAACAGAACAAAGACCTCCTTATATTCTCTTCACCCAGACCCATCAATTAATGTTTCTTGCTTTAATGTATTTTTCTCCCTCACTCTGAATGTATGTATAATATGTGCATGTATACCCTGCCCTATGTACCATTTGAAGGCAATTGCAGACACAATGCCCTTTTTACTTCTAGACATTTCAGGGTGTATTTTCTAAGAACAAAGATGTTCTCTCGTATTACCATGGTTACAGTTTTAAGATTTAGGTCTACAATTCATAAACAAATTTTACCGAGCCAAGACTTATGCTAGAGTCACCAATTAGTTATCTGCTAAGTTTCTCTCCATTTGTGTCTCAGTCTTCATCTTTCGAGGCACCCGTCTCTTCGAAGGCTGTAGGAAGTCAGGATGTTTTCTCCAGGTGGGTTTGCCTGCTGTCTCTGTGCAGGCTGACTCAGATCTCATGGTGTGCATAGGGAACCCTGACAAATGGTGTGCCACCAGATGTGAGGTTAACTCATCCCCAGTGAGTACAGTCACATCCCTTCTTAAAAAAAAAAAAAAAAAAAGATTAAAAAAATACTTTATCGTTCAACATAAACTTTTCTTCAGGCAATTTTTCTCTCAAAATTCCAGAATATATTAGAAACTCCTTATCTGTGTTTTTGGAGGATCTTAGAGTTGTGGATGGTTGAGAAAGCTCCTGCCTTCTTTTGTGTAACCCCTCTTCATGGACATAACTCCAAGCAATTGTTCTTACATATTCAAAAGCCAATAATGAATACAACATGTGAAAAGCATCCACATGGCTCCTCCCACTTGTGCAATGGTGAATGCTGGCAGTCATCATTGCTTTAGAGAGGCTGAGAGTCTGCCATGTCTCCCAGGCTGGCCTTGAACTCCCAATTCCCCTGCCTTCATCTGCAGAGTGATGGGATTACAGCATGTGCCTCCATAAGGCATATTTTCCATTCTTACACTATAAGAATCATAATTGTACCAAGAACTACTATGAAGTAAAACAACAACAAAACCTGTCCTTGTCACAGTATTATACACAACTCATCTGGAGAGAGTTGGAAATGGGATATTTATTTGTGCTACTGGATGTATTTCTGTACTTAGAAACTTGAGAGCTTAATTACATTATTTTTCAAAAGTAAAATTTAGGATATTTAATAGTATATAATAGTATGATATTTAATAGTATGATATTTAATATTACTGTTTAAACAGAGGGGAGAGACAGGACTAAAAGCATTTTAGAAAGGTTTGGAAATCAGCACAGAAGATGTTAGAACTCCTTGGTATGAAATGGAGGTGAGCTTGGACAGCATTAGAGCACACAACTAAAACCGGGGAAGGGTTGAAGTAAGGCAGAAAGGAGGAAAAATGGTGATGTGACACAAGCAGAGCAGCACTCCAGGTGTGGTGTTAAACCCCTGGAAAACTCAGGTATCCGGGATCCCATTCTTATACACATTTACCTAGAATGCAATAACAAATATTTCTGGAATTCAATTGGGCAAATGTGATTTTCATGTTCCTTTCTTTTTAAACATTACAAACATCTCTCACATTCTGTCTTCTGTCCCATTTGTCACTCTCCCATCGTGATTTTTTTTTTCTTCCCAATAAGTAGTAGTGACCTAAATGTTGTAAAACTCATGGGCATAGACCACTTTTAATGCCATTCATTTCTGCTTCATTCTTAGCTTGCCAGTATTGAGGCCCTCTAAATTCCAATATACCAGTGTAACTTCAGTGGCTAATGTATTCTTTTTTTTTTTCCCCAGAATTTATTTCTTTTGCTTGATGCATTCTTTCTGTCACTCCCCCACTGCCTTTGAGCTCAAGAATAGATTCTCGGATGTTAATGGGAACGCAAACTCCCAAACTCCGCAAACCCTGTGGTGACTGAATTCAGATGCAGATTATGGGTCAGTAGGTCTGCAGAGGTCTGCCATTCCGCATTTCTGCACAGTTCCTGGGCAACACTGGTTGCTGATGGTCTGGGGACCTTGAGTACCAGGGTGCCAGAGGATTTGACCGTGAATTGAATTTGGAGACAGAACAGAAGGGAATTGGTTGGACCAGGGGAAGGAGGAGACTGGGAGGGCAAAGCCTGTCTTCTGGAGAATGTAAGCGCTTCACTATGGCTGCACACTGGAGTGAAAAGAAGCTGGGCACTGTAGCATGTGCTGTGGTCTCAACTGCTCAGGAAGTTGAGCAGGGAAAATCACTCAAACTCAAGAAACTGGGGTCAGCGCTGGAGATACATTGAGATCCTATTTCCTAAATTAAGAAAGTAACCCAGTGTTAGAGGTTTGGTAATAATCTCAGCTACTCAGGAGTCTGAGGCAGGAGCCTGCCTGGATTATAGGAAGTTCAAGGCCAGCCTGGCAAACTTAGTAAAACCCTGTTTTGAAGGAACCGATTTCAGCAGCCCATAACAGCCGAACACGTGCTTGCCATAAACTTGCCTTGGTCATTTAGAGGTCAGATGCCTGCCTTGTGACAAGGAACCAATCAGAAGTTAGCTGGTGGCGCTATGCTTTACGACCCTGGGTGTGCTTTACCGACAAGTGCATAGCAATGACGCACAAAGCATAGCAACCACCCTGGGAGGGCATATGGGCCATAACAACCAGTTGACCAATCAACACAGGGCAAGCCCCCCAAGCCTGGAGGCACCCCAATCGTGAGCCTGTGCGTACCCCTAGACACCCCCCCTTTACGCTGCCCTATAAAGATCTGTACATAGCGGCTTCAAACCGTCTTTGCTAGCCGTCCGCCATGGCGGGTGGGTGAAAGACCCGAGCTAACATGGGGTTAGCTCGTTAAATTACAATAAAGCCTCGTGCAGTTTGCAGCAAGCTCTCGAATCCACCTGGTGATTAGGGTGACCGAGAACGTGGCCTGGGACCCCGGAAACTTGAGTTTTCGGGGGTCTAACAGTTTCAAAATAAAAACCGAGGCTGGGGATATAGCTCAGTAAAAAGGGGTATTTATATGTACAAAGACTACCTGTTGGTGATGCTGGGTGTAACTCAATTTGAGTCCACAATGCTAAAAGCCCTTGGGGTTTACTGTTTAAACAGAGGGGAGAGACAGGACTAAAAGCATTTTAGAAAGGTTTGGAAATCAGCACAGAAGAGGATGATTAGAACTCCTAGGTATGAAATGGAGGTGAGCTTGGACAGCATTAGAGCACACAACTAAAACCGGGAAAGGTTGAAGTAAGGCAGAAAGGAGGTACAATGATGATGCGACACAATCAGAGCAGCACACTCCAGGTGTGGGTGTTAAACCCCCGGAAAACTCAGGTATCCGGGATCCCAGGCCACGACTTCGGTCACCCCAATCACCAGGCAGATTCGAGGGCTTGATGCAAACTTCATGAAGCTTTATTGTAATTTAACGAGCTAACCCCATGTTAGCTCGGGTCTTTCACCCACCCGCCATGGCTGATGGCTAGCAAAAGACAGCTCCTAGGGCCTCCCATATATAGGACAGCGTAAGGGGAGTGTCTAGGGGTATGCACAGGCTCACAATTGGTGTGCCTCCAGGCTTGGAGGGCTTGTCCTGTGTTGATTGGTCAACTGGTTGTTATGGCCCATATGCCCTCCCAGGGTGGTTGCTATGCTCTCTAC